TGGGGTCCTGCAACCGGAAATCCTACCTCTCCCAGTCCATGAGGAATGAGTGGAAACTGGCAAAAATTGCATTTGTTGTCATCATTGTGTTTGTCTTGTCCTGGTCTCCATATGCTTGTGTCACCTTGATTGCCTGGGCAGGGTAAGTGGAAACATAATCCAAACAGCATGGGTTGTTCTGAAATACAAATACTGTTAGTATTGTCACCACATAAAGCAGATTTCATCTTTGAAAGGGTCTTAAATAATTATTACAATAGAGGTGATATTGCATTCTTCACTATATCCTTGTGAATAAAGCCAGAAAAGGGATTATATGTCTATGCATTTTAAAACTTCTATGACTTTTTATCTTCATTTTTTGGTACACATTGTTTTCTCTCCCTAATGATACTTTCTTTGTATGAATTAGAGGAGTTTTATCTCCCCTTTTATCTTCTAATACCCATTATTTCAAGAAGCTTCCCCCATATGCTGATGTCACTACCAACTGTTCTCCACTCCAAAGGGACCTGGTGTCTTGTCAATGCATGTTCTGCTTTTCAAGGCTTTAAGCAACCTCATCTATTGAAAGATGTCCTTGCTCATGGCAGAAAGGTTGGGCTTGATGATCTTTAAATGTGTCTTCCAACCCAAATCATTCTGTGATACCATGATTCTGTAATTATCCTGTGTTGACATTGATCACACCTGAATGACTGTGGGAGCCTAAAGTCAAAAGGAAAATTTTGGTTTAAAATCATCTCTAGTCCTCTTTTCCTTCTGCAGTGTTTGAATCTGAGTCACTGTCACACATTACTGTGCAGAACAGACGTTGCTGCTGAAAGATTTTTAGGTTTGATTCTGTTTTCTTTTTCAGCACCATTCACTTTTCCCAGGTGGCCACAATGGGGTTACTTGCTGGGGATGTGGGATATTTTTTTTGCCTATTGTAGAAACAGAGAAGGTGATTATCTGTGTTCCTAGTCATAGATAACTAATTACTTGCATGTCTTTGATCTTCTCCAAATGAATGAAACCAAGTACATGCTGTCAAATACAAGCCTGAGCAAGAATGCATTTGAATGAATTAACATTTCAGGGGTATTTCTTATAAGAAGATAATAGCACAAAAACAGTCAAAAGGAGCAATGTGTTTTACTAATTTGGTATTAATCCATGGCATAGCTGTGTGTAATGTTTTTGCTTTGTTTTAGTCGAGGCAACACCCTAACACCATATTCCAAATCTGTGCCAGCAGTTATTGCCAAAGCTTCTGCAATCTACAACCCCATCATATATGCAATAATTCACCCAAGATACAGGTATAGTAAATACATAAGTATGTGTATAACTGTACATGCAAATGTGGTTTTTACAAGGAACAAAATACCCTCATTCCTTCAGCCTCACCCCATGCAGTACATGCCCCTGCACTGACCATCCCATGATGGAGCCTGGGTGGTCAGACCTCGTGCTGTGTCCACCTGAGTGCACATGGAGCTCCAGATGTGGCCTCAGGGTGGCCAACAGAGAACAGTCCCTCCCTTCACCTTCCTTCTCTCTCACAACCCTGCTCTTTGAAAAAAGATTTCCACTGTGTTGCTATGATGGCAAACCTACAAGATTAGGTGAATAGACTGATATAATATACCATAAAAGACAATCCTCAAAAAAACACCCCAGAAACCTTTCTCTTTGGAAAAGTAAAGAAGTTCCATTATAATCTCTTTTGATAACTTCTCTAGAGCATTCCAATTAGTCTTCAGAGATCAACTTGGCCTTCCTTAACATTTAGGGAAAGTGTGAGAAAGAACCACATTGTGTTTCAGAAAAGTCACCCGCTCTTTGAGCTGTCTAGGACCTGGAGGCATGCACAGCATGGAAGGAACAAAAACGATGGTGTCTTGAGTTGCATAGTCCTAAAAGGAGCTGCAAAGTACATTTGGAAGGGAATAAGCAGACATCATGTGCTGCTGAATGGTTTCAAACAAGGACAAACTTACCTTGCACTTACTTCCTAGACACTATGCAAACTAAAACTTGTTTTTTTGAAGTCAAATATTTTCTAGAAATATCCTCCCATGTTCAGCTGAGAATTATGTGCAAGTACTGGCAAAGTAATTAAGTTCTGTTAAAACTTCTAAACTACTTGGTTTCAAAACATTCAGCAAAAATAGGGGGTTTGAGGGATTGTTTTTGCAGTTATTTGTTTAACATAAGGAAAGAGATACAACTCCATTGTGATCTCAATCCTATCTCCAGCATTAGGTAGACTTCTAAGTATTTTCTTCACCTTTATGACTCACAGTAGTGTACTCAGAAGAAGCTATACCTCACACAGGAGATACAGCTCAGAGCATGCAATTTCTTCCCATAGCCGTTTTTTTAAACACTGGCAGTGAAAAATGCTTTATTGTATAAAGGGGAAATACTTGTAACAGAACTTCTATTCAGCGTATCTCTAGATTTGTGTTGTGAGTCTTTTAAAGCATATCTACAACAGAGCAATTCTGTGTCAAAAGTTCTGACAAAACACTGGGATGCCATGTGATAAATGTGATAAATGTGTAAATGCCACTAGATGGCAGGGTTAGGCATCGGTATGAGGTTTGTTTTACTCCAGAAGTAGAAAAACGTAAATTCCATTGCCTGACAGCTAGAACTTGGGAGCTAGAAAATAAGTTAATTGTTTTGAATGTCTGATGTGTGATGGTGTGAGTGTAAGAAAAGTGAAGGTTTCTCAGAAGGCTGGTGGAAATATACCCAGAAAGGGTGAAAAGATAGAATCATAAAATGGTTTGGGTTGGAAGGGACCTTAAAAATCATCTAGTTCCAAACCCCCTGCCATGGTCAGGATCACCTTCTTCTAGACCAGGTGGCTCAAAGCTCCATCCAACCTGGTCTTGAACACTTCCAGGGATGGGGCATCCTCAGCTTCTTTGGGCAACCTGTGCCATTACCTCACCAGCCTCACTGTGAAGAATTTCTTCCTAATATCCAATCTAAACCTATCCTATTTCAGCTCAAAGCCATTGCCCTTTGTCCTAGCCCTACATATCCCTGTAAAAAGTCCCTCTTCAGCTTTCCTGTAGGCCCTGTTTAGGTACTATAAGGCTACTGTACGGTCTCCCTGGAGCTGTCTCTTTACCAGGCTGAACAACCCCAGCTCTCTCAGCCTTTCCTCACAGGGGAGGTGCTCCAGCTCTTAGGTCATCTTTGTGGCCCTCCTCTGGACTCACTGCTACAGGTCCACATTCTTCATATGCTTTGGACCCCAGAACTGGACACAGTATGCCAGGTGGAGTTTAACCAGAGCGGAGGAGAGGGCAGAATCGCCTCCCTCAACCTTCTGGCTGTGCTGCTTTTCATGCAGCCCAGGATACAGTTGGCATTCTGGGCTGCAAGCACACATTGCCAGCTCATGCCCAGCGTCATCCGCCAGCGCCCCCGCGTCCTTCTCGGCAGGGATCCTCTCAATCCATTCTCCACCCAGCCTGTATTTGTGCTTGGGACTGTCCTGACCCAGGTGCAGGATCTTACACTTGGCCTTGCTGAACTTCATGAGGTTCACATGGGTCCACCACTCAAACCTGTCAAGGTCTCTCTGGATGGCATCCCTTCCCTCCAGCATGTTAACCACACCGTGCAGCTCGGTGTCATTAGCAAACTTGCTGAGGGTGCACTCAATCCCACTGTCTATATTGCTGACCACGATGTTAAACAGCACTGGTCCCAACACTGACTCCTGAGGAGCACCACTCATCACTGACCTCCATCAGGATATTGAGCTGTTGACAGCAACTCTTTGAGTGTGACCATCCAGCAAATTCCTTATCCACCTAGTGGTCCATCCATCTCCATTTTAGAGATGTATTTTGTTTGAAAATGTCTGCTACCATAACTAATAGCATGTTGCATCCTTAAAAAAAAATCTTATTTTTTGAAGTTTGCAGAGAATTTTAGTCATAACTAATAGCATTTTGCATCCTTAAAAAAAATCTGATTTTTTGAAGTTTGCAGAGAATTTTAGTTTAGAATAGGAAAATATTTAGTCTCTAATACATTGCAGAAGTCCAGCTAGAAGTTTTGCACAGCTGGCTGATGCATTATGAACCTGTTACTTATTTCCTGATCCAAATCTATTATGTTCAGTTAGATTATTTTTGCAAGAAACAGATTGCCCAGAGAGGTTGTGGATGCCCCATTCCTGGAAGCGTTCAAGGCCAGGCTGCATGGAGCTTTGTGCAGCACAGTCTACTGGAAGGTCTCCCTGCCCATGGCAGGGGAGTTGGAAGTAGGTGATCTTTAAGATGCCTTCAAGGTCCCTTCCAACCCAAACGGTTCCATGACTCTATGATAGTGAACTGCTTCAAATAATCTTTTTCCTACCAGCATTGGCTTTTCTAAGAGTGTGTTAAGAAAAAGGATGGAGTCCACAACAGAGTTTCAAACACTTTATTAATAAGTATTTTGTTTTATTTTTTTTTCCTGCTTTCTAATTTGTATTTCTAGACATATCAACATGAGAAGTGTTTATGGACTTATTGTGAAGACACTTGGCTTTTAAGAACTAGTCTGAGAGCTTAATTGTTATATTTCCCCTCTGTCCCCCACCCTGGTCACCCACTCCCCACCAAAAAGAGGAGAAAAACACTTCTCTCCCTGATAGGTACCACTGGAAGTAACAAATGTGAGTAAGTAAGGAAAGTACTGAAAGTTTTAATTCATGAAATGCTGTTTTGTGGGGGAAGAAAGCTTTCACTTCTTTAACAGCTTGTATGTGAGAGAACATCACATAGTTGTGCTAGTCATTACAGAAACTTCCTTAGATTTTGGAAGTTTTAGGTTTTGTAGTAATGTTTTCATAACAAACAGGGAAATTCTGCATCTCAATGTTTCTGACTTGCTCCCAAGTGAAGCAAAATGATTGATTCAAAACTGCTGCATCTGTTCATTTTGTAATCCCAGAATCATGTCTCTGAAGTTTTAATGAAGTTTAAAGTGTGATCTTTTCTGAGAATTGAAATGATTATTTAAATGTACTAGTTATTCAATAAACCTGGTAACTATAGAAGTAAAGATTTTACAACATGCATCAGCTTGACTTGCATCTTGGTGTAAAGTCAATAAACAAACATCCTCCACTAACCTGTAGTCCCCTGCAACACTTCTTTTCCATATGCCTTGTTGCTGCCTCACTTCTTGACTTGTTCATGTAGTCTTGTGCCAGTATTAGCTTTGTCTGTTGGGCTGCAGTAATGGACTGGGGGGTGCTGGGGAGGTGTTATACCAAACAAAGCATTCTGGCTAGCATCACCCTGCCAAGAGCAAGGCCAGCTGGCATTGCAGAGGGGAGGCCCTTGGGCTGTTCTGCACCATGCAGGGCCAGGGCTGGGGCCAGGAGAAACAGACTCACACGACCATGACTGAGACTGTTATTTAATGAATAAGGCAGATTTGGGGCCTAGATCATCCTTCTCATTTGTGCTTGTGCAGTGTTAATTTTCAATAGGAGTTTACAGTAACTGCCGTGACATAAATAAGTAACAGTATCTGATTCTTCTGGCCTTCTCTCCCTTCTCTTTTTTCTGCTCATTCTGTGCCTTTGCACAGTGAAGACCTTTGTACCTGAAAATTTTCAAGGTTAGCTACTTATCCATGCAGCTCTTCCACATGTGTTTTGACACAGGGCCCAGAAGCACCCGTTATTTTCTTTTGAGCCTGTTGAGTAGTTTCCACTACATATGCTGTCATGTTTACATGTAATCTGTAAGACCTCCTTAATCCAAACAGAAGCAGTGTTGAGGTGATGGAAAGAGGCAGTAGTTTCACAACATGAATTTCAAAGCCATGTTATCAGTGTGACTGTTTTTTTTCCCTCATGTTTCCTCTAGAAAAACTATCCACAATGCTGTTCCCTGCTTGAGGTTTCTAATACGAATATCGAAGAATGACCTCCTAAGAGGCTCCATAAATGAGTCATCATTCAGGAACTCTCTCTCCAGCCACCAGTCTCTTGCTGTCAGGACCAAGAGCACTTGTGTTTCATCCATTTCCATTGGAGAAGCTGTAAGTCTTTTCTCGGTGAACGAAAGTGGGCATAGCATTTCTCAGACTCCCAAAATAAGCGACTCTATAAATACATATTCAAAATTAGAGAAAGGAAGAAGGGGAGGAGGGGAGTGCAGCTAAATTTTTTGGGTTGTATAAGGTCATTTCGGCAAAGCCTTTCTGGGAGTTCATGCATGATGATTTATGACCAGAAAAAGCATCCAGGCCAGCATATCTGCGTGCTTCAGATGCTTACTTGGACCAGGGATGTTTAGGTTAAGCCTTTAATGCGAATTAAAAAGAGCCATTGTCAGGCACTCCCTGTGTGACCAAGTACTGCCTATAATTCAGTATCTGATGATAGAAGGAAAACAATCTCCCATTCACAGTTTTCAAACCTATCCAAAAGCTATCTTATTGTTTTAAAGGAAGGCCATTTTCTGTAGGATAGGAAATTTTTTATTTCATTCCTTGGATTTTAACCATGAGGACTGGAAGACTCCTGCCCCTAGAGCATGGTGGGGTGTTTTGTAAGACATGTACCCCAGTTCTCATTAAGGCTGGTGACTGAGAAAGGAAAGGACCCCTTGGGACTCTTCACAGTTACTCAACATGACCTCACTTGCCTCTCAGTCACAAGAAGCTGGCTTTGTCAGGATAGATGCTTAGAAGGTGGCTCTGGGGGTATGGTGGCAGCCACGGCAGGGTCCAGGCTGGGGCTGGCCCTCCTGGGGACCTGTGCTGCTCCCCACTCAGCTCAGGCATCAGAAATCTTTGAAAGCAATGGCTGCCATTGATAACCTCTCACAAAGGTACAAATCATCATGGGCCAAGTGGCAAACTCTTGGCTCTCCTCTGGGGCCAGTGGGCTGGGTGAGGATGGTGCTGGGTTACGTGTGACAATGCTTTCAAAGTGAGAGTCAGGCCACGGAGCAATGCTTCAGTGAGATTGTGACCATGTTTGGTACTTTTGAGAAGACTGGGGTCTTTGATTTGGAAGAGGATCTAGGACCACCAGGAAAACCAGCCTCAACAGTGCAATGCTCTTGAAAAAGATAATTTTGCACTGAATTTTCTTCTGGAAAATAGAAGTTGCTCCTTTTGGATAACAGCACCAGGGAGATTTCTGAACTCTTTCATAGCAGACAGACAGTAAGGAAAACACACCTGAGCAAAAAATAGGAAACCAAGCAGTCCCAGTTGATGCTATAGCACTGTGCCCAGGGCACTGACATGAAATTCTGGCCTTCTGGCTGTGAAATTAAAAAAGCCCAATGAAACAACGCTTTAAGTGCCTGAAAGGAAGGCTCAGTACTTCAGCCCTAATGAAACAAAATCTACACCATTACAAAAGAGAGGCTACTTTGCAGTCTGTGTGGCTGCCTCCCTTGCACATTAACCATCAGGTAGACTTCCAGTTAAAATAACTCATTGCACTTTCCTGGTTAGCCTCAGCCATCCAGCTTGTGAAGCTGTGAACTGTTTGGGGACAAGGATCCTCTTCCACTTCATGACCATGCCATGTTCACAGCAGCTTTCCTGACTATCAATAAACAGCCTACAGGTTACAGTATTACAGACAGGTAATAATGGTGGTAATTAAAATAATGAAATCTCTTAAATGGGGTGTGTTGTGTCAGTCGAAATTAGAAGTTGTTTAAATACCACACAGTGGACAAGCTGCTTCTCAGGAGTTTGTCTAGAATTGACAAGCTTTTGCTGTAGTGTTTCATAAAGTATGTCTACCATAAAATTTCTTTAAATTAAAATAATGACTAGAAGACCTCTCTTAGCCTGGGCAAAGTCTTATTTTAGCATACTGCTGTCCAGATTCGAGCCCAAGTGACTTTGAAGTGTGTGATGAGACTCTTGTGGAGTGTGATACTGCTCTACCACAGTCCACAGCACAAGGATCTCCAAATTTGCTTGCCTAGGCTCTCATAGTCTTAAGGGCATGTGGAGCACTTTTATATTTGTCAGGTTGCTGCTGTGTTAGGGCAAAAGACCTTAATAAGATAGAAAAAAGAGTGACTCACTTTGTATGGGCTATGAAATTTAGTGTTTGCCATGGCTCTTTAAGATATAAAGAAATGCATAGTTATTTCTGTTGCAATGTAAAGGAAAATAAGATCATCTATCCTGC